AAATCGGTGACAGGAGAATAGTCCTTGATAGCCAGGGTAAGTGAATGGGCAGCAGTGACCATCTCAGTGAGGAGGTAGATGAACTCAGGGAGAGAGCCCTCCAAATTCTGGGGGAAGCGCTGCAGGTAGGTTCCTGAAATCAGCATGTGAGCCCGATTGTATCCTTTGGATCTGCTGCTTGCAGCTTGTTGTGTGTAATGAGAAAGCAATTCCACAATTATTCTCTGACTGTTCAAACTGAATCGACACCGATTCACTGTTCAAACCGAATCGAATTGAGGAGGGGTGGGTGGGAAGAGTTTTGTTTCTCTACCAGAACCTGATGTGGCTCATATTTTCCTTCAGATGACAGCTGGTCAATAAAAGGGAACAATATCTGAACTGCTAGATGTATGTTAAAGGTAAAGGGACCCCTGACTGTTAGGTCCAGTCGTGGCCGACTCTGGGGTTGTGGCGCTCATCTCGCTTTACTGGCTGAGGGAGCCAGTGTACAGCTTCCGGGTCATGTGGCCAGCATGACTAAGATGCTTCTGGTGAACAAGAGCAGCACACGGAAACGCCATATACCTTCCTGCAAGAGCGGTACCTATTTATCTACTTGCACTTTGAAGTGCTTTCGAACTGCTAGGTGGGCAGGAGCAGGGACCGAGCAATGGGAGCTCACCCTGACAGAGGCCCACGGATATGTGTGGTGGAGTTATCACTTTGAAGAAAGGAGGAGATAAGGACAGGGATGGACTATGCACTGTTTGTAAGAAGGAAGGAGGCATGCTGTATATAGAGCGGGTTTGATGGGCTGAGGACTGGGCTAAGGGGTGCTTGGCCTAGAGGTAGGGAAGGGAAACCTGTGGCCTTTCCAGTGATGCTAGACAACAGCTGGTCAACATCCCTGACCATGCTGCATTCGGCTGGTGAGAGTTGGAGCCCACAGCTTTTGATAGCTGCAGGTCCACCACCTCTGTTCTAGAACTACCTGAGCTGCTGTTCCATCAGTAATTACATAGAAGTAGAACTGAGCTAGTTGTGGCTTATGATGTCACTGCTGCACTGTGACCTGACAACCCTGACTGGGCAACAGAAAGACAGGAAGCAGCAGAAAGACTAGTGGCTGAGTTTCATATGAACTCATTCGCCAATTCTCAGGCTGCAGACTTTTAGCCCTAGCGTATTTACGACTGATTTGGTTAAAAGACAGAATGTAGGCTCCAGTGGTTGTCCTTGGATCTCCAAAAGTCTCATGAGACATCACCACGAAGTTTAACCGAACTGGAAAGGTTTATAAACAAAACATACATGCCTTGTGAAAAAGCACTTGGAGTACCGTGAGAAACAGACCTTCCCTTTCCTTTTATAAAGACACAATTCTGTCATTGAAGACACAAAGTCTATATTGCTTTAGCTCCATGACAGCTGATTTTCAGTACATGAGATCTTCAATCTCTGTACAACACGGGCTAATAAAGTTGAGCCAGCAACAATGGATTTCATTTCAGAGCACAGGTTTCAGCTGTAAAACCTTAAGTTTGTTTTGCCGAATAAACTATTCAGGCACTGGGTATAAATCTCTCTTTATTAAGTACTGAAGAGCCTAAGAAAATAGATGTGCTTGTTTCTTTCAGATATCATGTGCTGCAGAACCAGGCTTTATCGCCATTTCATTGTTGTTTCTGTGGATGTGCTAGCTGTTTTAGGGTTTGATAGTTGATATATTCCTCAAAGGTTTTCATACACTTTGGAAGACGTATGACTTCAGCTTGTGAAATGACAAAGTTGAAAAAGCACTTCAGAGTAAAATTCAGCTTAAAAAAAAAAAGACGGTATGGGACAGTTTTTATGTTTCTGATGGTGGTTTTGGTGATGAAAGTGAGTAACAATCCTTCAGAAATCTTTGTAATGCTAAACTAGTTGTTGCAGTTCCGTCCTTGGCAGGAGAAGCTACTCTGCTGGGCCTCTTGGAAGCACCAGCAGATACCACCATTTTCTCCTGACCCAAAAGGCTTTGGAGAAAGGGAACATAGTGGTGGTTTTGATGGTTCACACAACCAGCTTGAGTAGCACTGTGCTCACTTTAAGAACATTAGAAGAGCCTTGCAGGATCAGACCAAAGGCCCATCTAGTCCTGTATCCTGTTTGCTCTCAAGCACTCAAACAAGGGTGCTTGCTTTTGTGAGTGTCCCTGCTTAAATGCTGACAGTATTCTCACAAAGGAGTCACCCAGGTCAAGCATCTCTCCTCCAAAATGAATGTGGCTGTGGGTCCCACTTCACTGTAGTTGCCTTCCACACTGTTCTAGCAACATATATGAAATGATGAAATCTTCTAGGACAGCATTTGCCAATCTGATGCCCACCAGATGTTTTGGACTATAACTCATCGTCATCCCATGCTGGCTGGGCTGCTGAGAGTTATAGTCTAAAACATCTGGAGGGACCAGATTGGCAAAGGCTGGTCTAGGAAGTGTGCACACCCCAATTTTTGGCCAGTGGCATGACCCCTCCTTTCTTATGATCCCTCCCCTGATTCCCCCCTCCAAACCACCAGGACTACACTCGCTTTTTAGGAAAAGATTAGTGTTCTGCTCCAGCTTTAGTGGGATATGTTGAGCTGCAGCCTAAGACAAGCTGTAAGTTCAAGGTATTAAAATGTGATAGTGGCAAGCAAGGCCAGTGTTACTCTAATGAACTCATATCAGTGACTAGAGCTGAAGGACCTGGTCAGTGCATTGGAGGGAGCGCAGTGGTCAGAATGGTGCCCATCATAAGTTGTTGGACTACAACTCCCATCATCCCTGACTACTGACCTTCCTGGCTTGTGGCTCATGGGTATTGTTGTCCAACATCATGTGGCGGGCATGATGTTCGCTATTCCTGGTGTAAGCTGTTCTGAGATATCTGAAGGAAGAGTGGGATATTCAGGTTGCATAATAGCAACAATAATCTTGACATCTCCCCGCTAAATACTAAAATAAAGAGTAGTGTAGTTAGCAGTAGGGTTTTAACCAGAAAATCAGTAAACTGTGTGCATCTTTTGTATAAATACTGTTTTAGAATTACTAAAATTTAAGTTGGGCTGAATGTTCCAAGGAGAAATATGAAACTAGTTCTGTAAGGCCTTACAGCCTTACACTTCATTGATTTAAATCAGGTTGTTTCGAAGTAAGTATTCATAGGATTGCAATCTATCTCCAATGATGCCCTTTTTTCCACCTACAAAGGTCAAACCAAATTGTCTCTATACAAGATAATAAATTGTGGGGTTTTATTTCTGCAGATGCTTATGTATGTTACTGATTTTCTACTGCTAATCCATTATCAGTTCAGAGGAAAATGCTTGGGTTTTTTAATTTTACTATTTTAATTTACTATTTTAATTTTACTATTGGATTTTTTTTTACTATTTTGCCTGGACCTTATTTTGATTTGTGCTCTACATGGTAATATGGCACTTCTATTCCTTGATTGCTAGCTGTCTGACCCGTTTTGTAACCAATTACACACATGCATATCTACCACTCTGTTTTCTTAAGAACATGGAGGAAAACAGTTGTTAAGGGGGGGGGATCATTTCCCCACCTATATTTGAACATGCCTGATCGTTGAAGCATTAGATTGAAATCGTTGAGCTGCTTCCCATAGCAAACAGTGCTCACTTTTCAAGTGGTTTAGCTCTATGACCTGAAATGCATTTGTATCTGTAGTAAGAAACCATCGTTGAAAGAGTCATGTGTTTTGTGGAGACACACTGGCTATCACTGATGCTTTTCTGAAGCAGCTTGCCCTTGAACAAGACAGTCAGATATAAGTCATTGCCTCAGGATGTTTTCAATTGATTACTGAATGGCTACAGAATTAATTTGGGTATCTTTTAGTGAGTTGCTCCAGTTCAGTGTTTTAATTTCTTTGCTTGACTACTGCTGGAGACACGCATTCATATTTCATTATAAGGAATTTATATGTCACATACATATACTTAACAGATAGATTATTATTGGTTGATTGTTTTTCATTTATTGCCTGCCGTTCACCCTAGGGTCCCAGGGTGGGTTACAGCCATTTAAAATGCAACATTAGAATAATATTTAAAATGTACAATTACAAAAAAAAATACAATGACAAAGAATAGGGTGGGTCTATAAAATATACATCTTGCACTGGATTAAAAAAAATCAGGAAAAGGGAGATAGATAAAACTGCTATAAATTGTTGTGCTGATTGAGATGTTTAATCTGAAACCAAGCTGGATTGGAGTTTGTTGGGGTCTCTGGCAGCCTCTGTTTACATCATGGATGTTGGCTAATATTATGTATATATAATTTGTATCGTTTTATTGGTACTGTTGCTGCAGGTTTGTCATGGCCTTTGGCTAGAATAATAAAATTATATTATTAATTATTATTATTATAAAAAACAGAAATACACACTGCTTACATGGCTTAGTCATTCCTTCATAAGACTCAACATCAATTTGCTGTTAAAAAATAATAAAAATACATGGGTAATCCAAAAGGGGGCAGATAATATTTTCTTGTAGTAGAAAACTGAAATAGATGGAAATTTGTGTATATCTATATCTGTATCAATAGCTGGCAGCCCAATCCTATGTTGGTTTGTTCAGAAATGCATTTAATTTTACTGGGAGAAAGCACTGTGTAATACTGTAGCCTTTGTATACAAGACACATCTGAATATTTTTCTCACTAAACTTTCCAAGTTCCTCCTGCAATTCATAGGACTTAGCTTACTTTAATCTAAGGCCATTGTTCTCCAAAAGTTGCCTATATTATTATTATTATTTTTCCTCCTTGCTGACAATTATAGAGAGAACATGCAATGGAAACTTAACAGACATAATTAATTGGTAAAGCAAATAACTGAGATACCATGTTTAATTACCTCAAAATTGATTTGTTTTTAATCACCTCCATTTGTTTTTGTGGAATGTGGTTGCAAATTCTAAAACCATCTCTCCCCACCCCCTTTTCTCTCTCTCCTCCTTTCTAGATTGAGGAGGATACGTGGCAGAAATACTACTTGGAAGGAGTTTCTAATGAAATGTATACAGAGTATCTTTCTAGTGCCTTTGTCGGTTTGTCATTCCCTGCTGTTTGTGAGTAAGTATTTATACCACCATTTATTTGTAAGCCGCCTTCTTCCTCTCAAATGGCACCAGAAGCTCCTTGTTCCAAGCCCCAATACAGTTGTACCTTGGTTTTTGAACAGCTTAGTTCTTGCAAGGTTCTGGCTCCTGAACGCCACAAACCTGGAAGTGACTGTTCCGGTTTGCGAAATATTTTTGGAAGCCTAACGTCTGACAGGGATTCCGTGGAATCCCATTGGCTGCAGGAGCTTCCTGCAGCCAATCAGAAGCCACGCTTTGGCTTCCAAATGTTTTGGAAGTCGAACGAACTTCTGGAGCAGGTTTCGTTCGACTTCCAAGGTACAGCTGTACCATGGTTCAGTGTTAATGCAATAGCATTCCAGGACATCTTCAGATACTAAGGTTTTTTTTTTATGTACTGTAAATGCATTTAGAATTGATGTGAAGCGGGGGTGTTTTTTTTTGAAACGGACTACTTGTGATCTGTTTCTTAGAGCTATCTTCCAAGAAGTAGGACATTGCACATTTTGTAGACATACCATGAAAGCACAGAAATTGGCATGAAATCCTGCTCCCCATTTTTGCTTTTTTTAAAAAAAGCAGGTATGTAGCTCCTATCGCTGTGAAAATGAGCTTGGAAGTGTCTGTGCACATTTGTATGAGGCTTGTGAGCTGTATAGGATTTCCATGGGTCAGGTGGGGCTTGGGTTCCTTCATAACTCCCTAGCACCTCCTCCCATCAATAGCTGAAGCAGAATAAATTAAGCAAATCTAGGCAGAGGGGTATTATTTTGCAATATACACACAGTCACAGAATCATTCTTTTGTTTTTCCAGAATGCTGATATTTACTTACTTTAAGTCAAAGTACACAGAGGACTGGTCATTGCAGAATGGGATTACATGACACATTGCTTCCATTATGAACAATAATAAAAACTGGCCAAAAAAGAATAATTAGTGCCAACCTCAAGTTCAGGCTTATTTTATTTTTCATATAGGTACATTTCACAAAGAAGAGAGCTATGTTGACCGAGACATATTTAGGATACTGACATATTCTGGGGTTTGCATTGCATATATTTTCATACCTATAAAAGAGCTGGACCAAAATAATCATCTCTACGGAATGAAAATAGCTACATAAGCTGTTGTGCAAACACTTGGATGCTCTAGTAGGTAAATTCTATAGTGGATCTCATGCTTGCATAAGATATTGTACAAGGTCTTCTGCAAGCAGAACATCAGCCTTGGGTTTAATTTTAAACATGCAGCTATCTAGGTATAAATGTCTCTTCCATGAGTTGGTTCTGATTGTGGCTGGGCACTTACAGACTTCCATGAACTTGCAGACAAGCCTCCTGGTTTAATCAAAAGTAGGGGAATTTAACTGTTGAGTAGCTACAACCAGGTGACTGAGCTGTACACATGGTAAAAACGAAGGGTTATGATGGCGGGGGGGGGGGGGAGAATTGTTTATAACAATTATGTCAATAGTTGTCTTGCATGCCAGAGAGTTTATTACTATACATCATTCACAATGCCTTCAATAAAAGTGACAAACTGCATCTGTCATCTCCATCATATAATATGTGCAGTGAAAAATTTCAGGATTGTCCAATACAGTAAATCAGCTTAACATGATTAGAACTGAACTTTATTAAAAGAGCCAAATACATTTCAACCAAAGACTTCTTCTGTGACTGTTCTTAACTGATCTATGACCTCTTGATTCATATTAAGATACAAGAAATGGCCTCTAGCTAGTACAATAAACATATTGAATATAAACTTTATTGATTAATAATATACATACAGATACTATCAAGATATACAGTGGTACCTCGGGTTGCATACGCTTCAGGTTACATATGCTTCAGGTTACAGACTCTGCTAACCCAGAAAAAGTGCTTCAGGTTAAGAACTTTGCTTCAGGAGGAGAACAGAAATAATGCTCTGGTGGCGCAGCAGCAGCAGGAGGCCCCATTAGCCAAAGTGGTGCTTCAGGTTAAGAACAGTTTCAGGTTAAGAATGGACCTCCGGAATGAATTAAGTACTTAACCCGAGATACCACTGTATACTGGAAGGCTTTGGTCAAAACTATTTTTGTGTTTTTAATGAAATTCAGTTAAATCAGTTTTTTGCTTTTCTTTTCCTTAAACGTAGTAAAGTTTAAACCATTAAGAAATATAACAGTGTGTAACCAAACAAAGCCAACACCACATTGGTGAAACGTCATTGGAGATGTCAAAGATGATGACTTGTTTGTTTTTTTGGAGACACCCAACTTACCCTTTGATCCCAACGGGACAGTAGGTCTGGTGGCCAAATGACCAACTGATATCCAGATCCAGGGGGGCAAACATTGTGTGTGATGTCATAATGCCATAATGTCAAAGCTGTGTCATAATCAGGTTACCATAGAGGCAGATGTGAGGGCATCAGGCCATATGTGTGTGTTGGGAGCAGGAAGGAAGTATCCAGACTGAAAGGTGTTGCCTAAAATAGGTTGCCAGGAAGGAACCTGTTGTCATAGTAGGGTAAATAGGTAGAGGTGCATATTTTGAGGGATCAGATTTTCATGGAAATTGAGGCTAGAACCCAAGGAAACAGCGAATTGAACATGTTATCAGTAATGGCTCATGTTCACAATAGTGGCTGGCTGCATAACCACTATTATGCAACAGTAAGTTGCATAACTGTTTTCCATTCTCCTCCTGTGTGCTATTTATTGATCATAAGCAGTCAGGGTTGCCTCCATCTGGTTATAGTAATAGCAGGGCCACACATAGTTTCTAGGCTTGAGCAGTTTGATCGTAGCATGCTGATTTTAGCTATGCTAGTGCTAACATAGTTTGAATATGTAGCTCAAATCATGTTCTTACTTGCAATGAAAATAAAGCACCATCTATTTCACACTGCAAGTCTTCATTCCATTTAGCCTTCAACCTACACAGACTGTGACAAACTTTGGATAAAACATTTTTATTTCCACATAAAACTGTGTTTTTGTTTTTTCAAAATTAGTAAGATGTTTCAAATACATTTACATTTCTGATGATTTGGCCATATTTTTTTTTTAAAAAAGAGGTGTTTAATTCCTGTATTAGTAACTATTTCACTATGAGATACAGATTATCACATAGAAATCTAATTCATACATAATAAGGTTACCACATTTTTTTTCAATGAATCCGGGGACACTTTTCAACTTCAATGGATTTTGTATGGGGACTGATTTGTAAATCCGGGAACTGTCTCCGGGAAACGGGGATGTCTGGTAACCTTAAATTATACCATATATTTAAATTCTCATCACATAATCAAGTGAATCTCAGCAATAATATGAGGATTATAATTTTACTCTTTTTTGGGGGGGTACTTTTGGACTCTTTAAGTTGCATGTTAACTTCATTTCCATGTAGCATCATTTCAGAGGCCTGATTCTTTCATTGTTATGAAGGGGCATGAAGATGTGAGGTATAGAAATACATAAGATGCTTTCCTACTCATCCTTTTTCTAATCACCCCTGCCACTGTATAAAACTGATTTGTGAGTTTATGTGCTCACCATTAGCAGGGTTTGCAGTAGTTTGCAAGGCTTGGCGCTTGGCTTATTAACGTGGTGAGCAGTCCCCGTGGCTTCGTATGAATCTGAACAGAAAATGTCACCTGCTAAACATAAAATCTGAAACGATTCTTGCAACATTTTGCAGTGCAGCTAATCATGCCCCAGTGGGCATGGTTCACGTGAAGCAAACCCACTGGGAGCAAAAGCTCAAAGCATTTTTCATTGTCAAGGCAGCTGTGTTTCCATATGGTTCTTGAAAACATGCCTACGCTATGCCTGTGTTCAGTCTACGGCTATCATTTGTACCAAGTCCTGAGGTAGAATCGATAAAGAAAGAGGCCTTTAATGAATTTTAGGAGCACCCCCAAAACATTGGCACGCTCCTGAAGTATTTGATTATCTGGAAACTTAATTATCTATTTTCTGATTTAAATTAAAGAGAGGCAGTAACTCAAACTTAACCAACATTTTAATGATAACATGATTCCTCACTTCGGGTTAATTAAAGCTCAGCGGCAATTAGGATGTGGTGCTGTATATCACCAAGCTTGGAGCATGAATATTTTCATTACAGCAAGGAATTTGTGTTTTGTTTCATGGTAACATAGAATACATTAAAATGTGCTTGTACTTGGTTCTTGAAAACAAACATAAATTGCTTGTACTTATCGTTTAGTCACATGGCGGCATACCTATAATCAGCTGTTTTGATATAATATACAGAGATGGAGCACTTTAAATAGCCTTTCGTGCTTTAAAACAGTTTGTAATGGATATTGCTCTTTTATAGGGATTGATAATCCAGTTCTTAAATTGCCACCCCAAATGTTGCCTGAAGAGAAATGCAAAGCAAAATGTGCGTGTGTATTTCTTAGGGAAAAAGTCTGAGGAATTCGAAAGGAAGGGTTCTGATTAAGCTAGCACAGTTCTCAGAGGGCTTTTCACAGGTCTCAACCTTAAAAAAAAGACGAGCAAAGAAAAGATCAGGGCCAACATGTAAATTGCAATTCAGAGCAACTCCAAGTGAAAAAGAAGTAGGGGGAAGTTCAGAGGTTTGAGCTAGCCAAACATGAAAGTGATTAAAACACTGTAGTTTTTCTCTTCTCTTTGTGAACTTTATTTAGGGACATGGACTGATGCAGCTTGTTCCTCCCTCTACTTTCCAGCATCACAGTGTATCCCTATATCACAAGGTTTGGCTGGTAATACGTCACAATGTTGAAAAGCTGATATCGCCCAGCCCATGTCTCCTCTTTTCCAGGCTAAACACACGCAACTCCCTCAACCATTCCTCATATGGCTTGATTCAGACCCTTGATAATCTTGGTTGCCCTTCTCTGCACACATTCCAGCTTTTTCAGTATCCTTAAATTGTGGTGCCCAGAACTGGACACAGTATTCCAGGTGTGCTCTGACCAAGAGAGAACAGAGAAGTTAGTACTA